TGCAGGAAAACCTGAAGAGTATCGGTGATGGGTACTGCAAGTGGTTTGGTTGAAGTCCAGTTCTAGAGCAACCCCATTCTTGCTCACTTGGATCTTAATCCTGCAAAAATAGAAACATGTATGTACTCTGCTCACTTCAAAAATGGTTTTGCTTATTCAGGCAGTAGCATAACTGTCGGCCCTGGTTTCCATATGAGCACCCCCATGCTGGAGAAATGTGTCCAGTAGCCTCTGCAGTCACTTCTGGCACAAGACACAGTATGAGCCTTGTACCTGGCCAGTCAAGTGGGGCTTTGGGCAGAGCTGCACCTCATGTGCTGGGGCACCTGTGTGTGTTCAGTCTTCAGGGATCTGGATACCCAGTGTGTCAGCAGTGACTTAGAGAAAAAATGGATCACGTCCATGCCTCTCTTTACAGAGGGGTCTGTGTGCCACCCTGCAAAGGGAAGGGCGGGTAGGAATGGGCTCCAAGCAGTGCAGGAGGGGGAAGGATAAGCATTAAGATCCTGGTAAGGAGTGTGTGGCATGTTCCCTTCTGGATATTGTACTAGACAGGGGAGCCTGTGGCTGTCAGGTGTGCCAGCTGACAGCAGTCTGGAAAGATCCCTGGGGGGGGGATATGTCTTTAGTGGTCCACCAGGACCTGGTGTGGTGAAGTCTGATGTGACTTGCAGGCAGGATCTGGGGATTGGTGGTGACAAGTCAGGTATCCCTGCAGCAGAGGCAGTGGCACTTTCATCAGGCGGAGTCCACCAGAGATGATTTGTGTCTTTCCAGGTCCTAGCCATTGATCCCTTGTTATGTGCCAGGGCAAGCATTACTAGAACTTCTTTTTGTTGGGTGGTAAAGCATGGTTGGTCTCTCATTTGCAAGTGCTGCTCTGGCTGGGACCACACCCTGCCCCAAGCGAGGCTGGGTGCAGGATCCCTGCAACTGGGGGCTCTGTGCAGGGCAGGAAGGGATGGCTGTGTTTGCATGCACCTGCCTGCACAGGTGTCTCAAGGTGAAGCTGAGCAGTACCTCATTTCTCAAAGTGGTCTGTGCAAACTAGAGACTAAGTATCAGTTGTTCTTGAGCCTGAAGACATTTGTATTGTCAGTGTGTTTAGTTTGAATTCACTAATGCAACAGAGAGATGTCAGGTGGAGCCAGTAACTCAGCAAGTGAGCTGGCTGCTTAGATTAGCCTAGCATCTCTGTCATGAAGTGATTGAGAGCTCACAACCTGGTAATCTCCAGCATGTGTCTGATGTACTAACTTCATTTGTGCTGCATAGGAAACTTTTACTTTCTTAATAGCAGCTTGTTTGACTGTCCTGAATTATGTGTTAACCAGTATGAAAGTAAGTTTGTGAAATTGCCAGTGATATATTTTCTATAAAAGAATGGATTCCTAGAGTGTCAAAACATGAATTTCCCATTTCAGTTCATCTATGAATTATGTGACTACCAGATTGTCATGGTAGCAGTATTAATATACATATCTGTATATAGACAAAAAACATACTCAGTAATGATTATTGGAATCAAAAGGTTTAATATTTTTTCCCAGTCAAATACACTAATGCTTCCAGGGTGACAGAAGTGTACAGTTGTTAAACAAATTGTAAATAAATGCTTATATAAAATGTAAATGCTTGTTTTTCCTTTATTTGGTAGTGGGTTATAAAGTGAGGCTAGTGCACAGTTCATGTTAAAGTTACTTGTTTGGGTCTGGAGTGCTGTTCTGCTCTGAGGTGAGGGTAGCAGCCAGCCAGTGATCAACAGGGAGCAACACAGGTCATACAGACCTTGCTTTAAGTGCACTTAGAATCAGTCAGGGAAAAAAATGTGACTTTTTATAAAGCAAAGCTACACCTGGGCTGCTTTAGTGTTAACTGGATATACAAGGGGCATCTTGGAAATGCTTTTCCTGGGGCTGTGCAAAGGAGAGCAATGGCAGGTAGGCAGCAGCAGGAGTACGCCACAGACCTCTTGATTTTTGCTGGAAAGTATCCTATCTGGCTGCCTCATCACTGCAAGAATCGTCAGACATGGTTTGCTGGCCCAAGGCTAAACAGCTGAAGTAACGATTTTTCTCTTGCTGGTGGAAATTTAGCTACAGAGCTAAAGTGGGGGGAACCTACTGGTAATACAGAGGGAAACAATTGTCCTTTCTTTCTGCATTGGTAAGCAGATTTTCCACCTGGGGTGGGTGGGGGAGGCACTGTCACATAACTGTAAACGTTGGTTGTGAAAGAGATGGCAACAGCCAGCACAAGATACTGAGCCCAGGAGCATCATCTGTGGTGTTGGTGCTGAGAGGGATGCCTGAAGACCCCTGTTACAGCCTTTCAGGAGCTGCCCTGTACAAAGAAAGCAAAAATGGAAGGATCCCCTGCCTGCCTCCCCCAGTGCCCTGCCTGCATGCTGTAGCATCCCTGTGGCAGCAGTGGGAGAGCCCTGGGCAGCTGTGTTTGCTAGCTGGGGAGGGTAGAACACCAGAAGTGATGGCCAACTCTCCCAAGCCACAGGCACTGTAAAGTGGATAGTGATTCACTCCAAGCCTCTGCCTGCCTCAGTCCCAACCTGTCACTCCTCTTTCACCTTGGTCATTACTTCATCTCTTGCCTCCAACCATCATCCTCTCGGCTACCCTGTCATTTCTGCCCCCTCCTCGTGCGCTGAGACCCACATCAGCATCCCTTGTTTTGCCTCCCCTCTCCCTTTCCTGTCCACTAGCCTCCTTCATCTACATTAACTCCTGCAAAGCAAGTCACCTTCCTTAGGCCTGGGGTGGGGGGACATGGCACTGTGGCCCACCCAACCTCTCACCCTAACCCCACCACAGATGGAGCTTTTACCTCTGTATGCTAAGTACATTTATCCTTACATTAGATACTCTTGCAGGAGGCAACAGCCACAGCTGTGTTAAAAGGACTTGCAGAAGCACCAGCTAGAAGCTGCACCGTTCCCCTTTGTGCACACAGGCCTGTCTGCAACACAGCAGAGCCCAGCACATTTGTATCCATTCTGCTCTGGAAGCAGGAGTCAGCAGTGCAATTGCCAGCAGGATGCACAAGACCAGCTGCAAGGACTGCAGGACCACCAAGGAGGGGAGTGCCACTCCACCCTTCCACCACAGGACACAGCAGAGGAGATTCTGCCAGCTCTAGGCCTCTGTGTGCTTAGTCCCTTTTCCTTAGCATCTGAAAATAAAATGGTCTCAAACCAGTAAGGTGTCCCATTTCTCTAACAAATCAGGAGGATTCAGAAGTGTGTTAGGTATTGCAGGGAAGAGGAACTTCAAGTGATGTAATTGAAAAAGCCTTTACATACCAAATATATCCACTGCTTCCATTTTAGGTCTTCTGAGAACCCCAGAAGGCATCAGAGCATCTCTGCCTCCCAGGACTTCCAGCTGGTAACAGAGGACTGCCTTTATGCCTTCCCAACAGACAAGCATCTCAAAACTGCAAAATGTGCACACATCCAGATGTTTGGTTTCTGGGCCAAGACACAATGTCCACAAGCTACCTGGAAGCACAACTCCACACCAAGAAGGAAGGTCTTACAAACCATTCCTGAGACAAGGGTAGAGAAAGGAAAACCCCCACAAACAAATGCAATCAACTCCCACCCTCTGAACATCGCAGGGAACTGATGAAGGCAGTCATAACCACCCCAGATACAACTCACGGTGGACAGAAGTTCAAGTGAATTTTCAATGTTTACCACACAAGAGGTCTGTTTTTAGGTCAATGCCAAACAGCAAAAAAAAATAACATACCCTAGATAGCCGACCACTAACAGAACATAACTGGAATTGCACTAACTTTTCCATGAACAGTCTTGTTCCACAGCACCCTCAAACAAGTCTGCACGTCCTTTCTACTGCTGTAAAATATTGGCGAAGTATACATACCATGCTGTCTGCCCCCTTCCCCATAAAGGCTTTCTGACAGTCCTTACTAGCTGAAGACAGACACCAGCATGAGACCTGGTGCACCCTCCCTTGACAAAAGACAAGGCAGACCCCAATGCACTATCAGCAATCTGGGGGATGCCGGGTGCCTGAGCAGTGCACAGGCACAACACCCAGTCCATCACACACATATCACAGGCAGCCTAGGACCTGTCCCAGCTCAGCTATGAATATGTATATTCAGTATCAAAACCTCTGTGAGGGTCCCCACCAGCTGAACCAGAAATTTAAGAACACTGGTGTCTGATACAGGCTTCACTGCACTCCATGAATTTTGAGTGCAAAGTATTAAGGCTTCCTTTTCTGATATTACAGTACTTTTGGGTTTGGGCTGTTCTTTTTTGTTTGTGTCTGTCCTCTTCACAGGGAAAAGGCAATAACTCTCCTGCAGTGCTCCCAAAGGCTATTTTCATTGTAGCCAGAGCACCTTGAAAATAAAACACAAATGTTTTGGAAATACCCCCCAAAAAAATACTACTCTGACAAAGCTTACTCTGTGAAGGAAAAACACTACCCTGCAAATAGGAACTGGCAGACTACTAGAACAAACAGCTTCCTAGTAGCCATTCCATATTAATTCTAAACCTAAAAAACCCCAAACAATTGAACATTTGTAAAAGTTAATGTGATATCCACAAATATATTTAAATCCAAGTCACCATATATTCAGTCTCTAAACATGGGTAATACTGTTCTGCAAACCTCTTCAAAGCAAGTGGAGTGTAGTCTGGAAGCCATGCAATGCAAGTGTCCTCTGGAGACCAGCCATACACCAATTCTAGGTAATAACACTCTGAGAAGAACCTATTTTAAATGCATCTTTGTATGGAAACTTGAATTCACCTACCTGTGCAGAGTTCAGGGTTACATACTTCATCACCTGCCAAAGCATGTGGTTTTAGAACATGTTTGAGTAAATGACAGAGGATTTCTACATGAACTGATTTTCTAAAGAGTTGGAATTAAAGACAGCTGCAAAAAATTCAGGAACAAAACTGCCTGGGTAATACATCAAAACCAAAAGAAAATCAACTGAACAACAGTCTTGAAAATGCTTTATTGAACCGTGTGTCTTATTGTAATGTGCAGAAGATGTGTTTGAAAGACTACAGCTTGAAAAAATTTTGAAAATCCTGAACAATCAATAAAAAAAGTCCCTACTGGGGGTAACTCTCAGGATAAGCAGAGGTCTCATTTAGTTTCCCTTGAAACATTTTTTGTTGCAGAGACTAAAATCTATGTGGAAACAATCAGGATTTGAGAATTTAAAAAAGTCTACAGGGTTGTTTCTTTTGCTGCTGTTATTTTGGATTAGCATACACATCACAGTTCTGCTGAGAACACCATCTGGTGTTCAAGTCTGTAAATTTACTCTATAGTGCTAGCAATGCTGCAGAGATGGAAGGATACAGAGAGAGAGGGGGTGAGCTGAGAAAGATCTGGAAAGACACCATTATGATATCAGCCTAGTTTAAATTTTTGTCAGAAGCTGTGCGCACTTTTGTTTTTATAATCTAACTTTACATTCAAAAAAGCCACCAAAAAAAAAGGAAATAAAACCAAAACCATATCCCTTCTGTCCTTGTTTTGGGGCTACTATAAACATCTATGCACAAGAACACCATACTCTTTTTATCCAAACCAGTTAACAGTATAGGGATGTGGGTGGCATGATTCAACTAAAAGGCTTTTTCAACTTTTTTATACCAGCAAAAATAACCAAAAGAAACAATAAATAAAAGGTGCTAACGTTAACATTAAGGATTCAATTGTAATATACTGACAATCTGGGAATCCAAATCCTCAAGCTCTCTTGATACTCACAGGTCTCTGCAAACTATGAAGCAAATACATAAATAACTCAAAATATGATTGAGACTGTGAAAGGCTTTTTAAACTAAGGTAACATGATCCAGGTTAACTTTTTTTTTAAAACACAAGAATATATGAATTGTCTACACCTGAATAAAACATATTTAACAAAAAAAATTAACAACCACAAAAATGAAAAATTTTAAACAAAGTGAACATCATTCCATTTTAGGGCACACAGAAGCCCCTTGCAGTAGCTTCCAGTAGTGGCCTTACTGTTGGGTCTCCTACCAATACATAAAACGAAGTTCAACTCCACACTGAGATGATGGCTAACAGGGCAACATAAGGGTAACATACAGCAAAATGCCACACCCTGGTCATGACAATATATCCCACTGCAGAGTCTCCATCCTGTGCAGGAACAGCACACAGACATGTCATTCTGTTACATATTATTCAAAAGCTACTTTGTGGCCACAAACTGCTAGTCAACACTAACCTTTCTGTCATGTAACGTTTGAAAATGGGAAAGCTTTGGGTTTTTATAGTTTAACTCCTTGTATTTAAATTTTTAAATGACAAGGTCACTAAAACTCATGCACGCTGCAAAAAACGTCATGCAGTAGTTAAGGTAAACCATCCAAGCAGTTTTTATTCATTAATATTCATAAATACACACAGCAGCTTCATTAGAGATTTTTCATTTTTTTCCTCTTCAGTTTGAATGTGGACTATTAGGAGAGACTTTTGCATGTCAAGGTACAGGACACAGAGCTTTTTGCTCTGCACTGCAGCCTACATTTACCTGCTAGAAGTAAAAATTAGTTAAGTGGAAATGATTATCATATATATCTTTTCTCTCTTTCTTTTGAATGTACACAATGTAACAAGAGTGACAGACCTGAAATTACAATCACCAAAACAAACCCAAGATAGTTGTTGTCCACTTTCATTGGCAAATACAGCACAGAGGACATTGTCTGCAAAGTGGGATGTCATCAAAGAGGAGGTGGAGGAGGCTCATTTCCTTTATTACTCTCTTTTAAATTTAGGTTTTCTAAAGCAACATCTAGAGGCATAATATCTACACAGCCCATAGCACCAAAATCTGCAATCTCCCCCCGCTCATCCTCATCTGAGGAGGAACTTTCTTCCTGCATCAAAGTGGACAGTAGAAGCTCCTGAACAAACAGGCTGCAGTCTGCCCGTTCACTTTCCATTGACTGACGCTCTGCTTCTGACATCTTCGGATCATTCAACCTGTACAGCAGCAAGGGAAGAGAAGACAGGCAGTTGGTAAAAGCCTTTTTCACTGATGACACTACTGACAGGCACCAAAAGGCACTCAAAAGTCACTCCTTCATGACAGCCCTGCTTGCCCTTCGACATGTACAGCTTTGGCAGCCTCTGACCACCCTTTTCCTGTTGCTACAACAGCATTCAAAGCAGAGCCTAAAGTTAGAGGAAAATAAACTATTTGTGAGGTTTCTTGCTATTCAGAAGTCTTTTAGGGAGGGCTGTGGTGATTTCCTAGACACTCATTACATGCCCATTTTGTTCTAGGTCAATTTCTAAATTCACATATGCCACAGAATAGATACCAGCATGTGTAAAGCTTAGGGATTCCCAAAGCACAATAGAATGATCATTCCACCACTTCTCCCAGGTCACAATGCATGCCGTGACTGGCAAGGAAATTGCTCAATCCAACTCTGAAAGTCACAATCTGTGATACCTGCAGGTACTTTTGATTAAATTTCTCGAATAATAATGAGGTTTTGATTGAAAGATGTCACATGGTGTTATTTTGCACTTAAGATAAAAATCAGATTGACTCAAATCCAGGTTTCTTGACACAGGAGTTGTTAAAACACCCACACTCTTTCACAATACCAAACAAAAAAGAATATGTACAGCAGGGCATGGCCAGGGAGTTGTAGAAAACTTTATTTAGTGTCAACAGACAACCTTCTAAAAGCATTGTAATAGCATAGTGGGTGACTTCTCTTTAAAATAACCCTGGGATCCAAGTATAATTTCTAAGCCAGATAAGTATTCTGTTAATTAATAGCCTCCTTTATCTGCTTTGTTATTGAATCTCTAAAATAATTTATGTATAAACGGCTATTCAAATTCCAGCTTTTACTAAAGATCAATTTCCTACTGAACAATACTATCTTCTGATTCTCTCCCTCTCCATTACAACTCAAGTGTATATACTTGTATCACTGGAAATGCACTTGTTCTGCTGGAAGTAGTAGGGGAAACAAGCACAATTTAGTTAAGAAATATTATTTTTGTTCTTCTTGAAGTTGAGACGCAGCAACTAATGTTTACCCATTGCTTAGAAGCAGACAGACAGTAGGTTTGAAAAGATGTTACAAATGCAAGCAAAAGCAGAGTACATAGGCTACAGACTTGAAGAATCTGGCAGAAGTCCCCTGCCTGAGCCATGGCTAACTTATTCAACCAAAACCAGCCTCCTTTTCAAGGTTTGCAGAAATCCATACTCAAGTTGAACCTTTGAACACATTCTAGCTGTGTCACAAAAAGTACAGTGCCTTTGTGAGATTGCCTCTCCTTTTTGCAGCACTAGACCACCACAGAATATTTCTGCAGCCAGCTCTAGGAGCTGGATTTCCACAAGCAAAATAATTCCCCATGCTCCAGCTATAAACTGCTAATCTTGGATATTAAATTACCAGTTTTACCTCCATGCTACAAATGCAGATGAAGCATTTATATATATATATATATATATATATATATAAAAAAAAAAACATATTCTGTGACCATTGTTGATGTCTACCATGAATATTCTGTATAGTGAATTAGCCTGTTAATTCTGCGATGTATCTGATCAGCCACTGCTTTACAAGGGTATGTGCCTAACAAGTTTCATTGAGCTCTATGTCTCTATTAGGACTAAAGGTGAACAGAAATGGTAGAAGTTACCTTGTAAGAAGAAACTGGGAATTCTGGATAGTCTGTTGACTGTTTTCTGTGTTAGATGTGTTGGTGGTTGTTGTAGATTGTGTCATAGTGGTGCTGACATTGATCGTGTTGGTGCGCCTAGTTGCATTGCGTGCAGTCTCCAGTTGCTGTCTTGCTGCCTGCGCATGTTGTCGTTCCAACTGCAGTTGCATCTGCAGCTGCTGTAACTGAGAAGCAGAAGGGCCAGAGGAGTTGAGCTGTCCTGCCGAACGCCTCACACCTGACAGCTGAGATAAAAGCTCTGCCAGAGAAGAGAAAGTTCTATGATGAAATAAGCATTACACAATAGAATAAATACACCTTGAGTTCCACTGTATAAATTCCTTTTTAAAATCAATAAAATCAAAGAACAAACAATGCTGAAGAGCCCATGGAGCTCATGAAAAAAAAGTCCTAGTATTCAATGTCTCAAAGCGTATTGAAGATAAAGACTTATTTATGCAGATTCATTCCAAATAAGAAGTCAACGTGTAATGCCTTCAAAATAACAGGAGAGCTAATCTACAGGGAACACCTGGCCAATGACATCCTCTGCAGCAGCTCTCTGAAACTTCAAGTCAAAATAGCAGTTGACTAGGAAAATACTTAAAAATCACAACCAAAGACAAAATTATCTTCCTCTCAACACATGTTCCCTCAAAACACAGGCTTCACCTTCCCAGTATCTCAGAGGGAAGCTGTGCTGCAGCAAAGAAAAAACATCATACCATTGTTCCAAACATTTAAAAAAACCAACAAACTTACTTAGAAAAAAAACATATTAAAGCATTGCCTCACATCAAAACTGAAGTGGTCAAGCATTTGTGCTGTATGAATTTTTATTTCTGCTAGAAGTACAGAGATGGCTGTACTGGGTCTGGCTGAACTGGAATTGGTTTTCCCCTACAGCAGCCCTCACGGTGCTGTGTTTTATGTCGGGAGCTGGCAGGGTGTTGATAGCACCCTGGTGTTGTGGCTACTGCTGAGCAGTGCTTACACAGCACCAAGGCTCTTTCTGATATTTCCCCCAGTGGGACGGGGTGGGCAAGATCTTGGGAGGGGACACAGCCAGGACAGCTGACCCAAACCGACCAAAGGGATATTCCATACCATATGACGTTTGCTCAGTATAAAGCTGGGAGGAAGGAGGCAGGGGGTGGGGTCACCCTTGGTCCTCCGAAGCAACCACTACGTGTATTGGAGCCCTGCTTCCTGAGAAGGCCCGACATCGCCTGTCCATGGGAAGTAGAGACTAAATCTGTTTGCTTTTGCTTCCGCGCGCGGACTTTTGCTTTGCCTTGCTTATATTAAAACTGCTTTTGTTTCACCCACAAGGGTTAGTTTATCTTCTTTCCCCTCTTTACCCTATTGAGAAAACAAGGGGAAAAAGGGGGGGGGAAGTGATAGAGCGACTTGGTGGATACCTGGCATTTAGCCAGTCAAACCATCACAGTCTATTCTGGCGCCCAACGTGGGGCAAACAACGGCAGTTTTACATTAAATGTGCTGTAGCTATAGTAGTTATTAAGCAGCAAGCTCTTGTGCTGGTCACGGGCTTGTTTATTGCACTGCTTATCTTTATTTTGTTAAGCTCGGGAACATGCTGCAAGGAATTGGGAACATCATGAGTGGCTTTATTTTGCAGGCTCCCGAGGTACTCAGTCATCCTTACGTTAGTTTTTTGATACTCTTTATTAATGCTGTTCGCCTATTGTGGGTGGTGTGGAACTCAGTATGCTTTTGGTGCAAGAGAACACAAATTTTGAGTGAATCGGTGCCAAAATGTGCTCTGAGGCGGCCTGTGCCTGGGTGGCAGGGGGAGTGGAATGAATTGGGCAGATTCCTAGGACGGTTATCACCTCCTGTAGCCTGGGATCTCACCCCTGAACAGGCAAGCAACCCCACAAAATTGACACATCATCTGATAGAGGGGTGTCTTGCCTATCCCAATGAGAACCAGCAACTTCTAGCACTTTACTGGGGCCTGGCCTGTGCTTACAGAGCTGCAGTTCAGCACTCTCAAAGGACTGTGGTTGACATGGGAACTCAAACAATAACAACAACAGAGATTGCCCCAGTAGTAAAAAAGAAACAGTGGACAAGGAGAACAACAGGCCCATACCCTCGATTAATAAGGGATGAGAAAGAAGAGGAAGAAGCTGGTCCTTCAGCAAAGGGATCAGAAGAGGAAATAACAGAGCTGAAACAGGAGGCAGAAACTACCCGGTCCCTGACGTCATCAGAACTGCGAGATCTGCGGAAAGACTATTGCCGCCAGCCGGGTGAGCGGATCGCTGCCTGGCTGCTGCGATGCTGGGATAATGGGGCAGATGCTCAGCAACTGGAAGGTAAGGAAGCCCAACAGCTGGGTTCCCTTGCTAGAAATCGAGGAATTGAAAGGGGAATTGGAAAAGAGACAGCAATTTGCAGTCTGTGGAGACGGCTCCTTTCAAGCGTTAAAGCAAGGTATCCTTTTAAGGAAGATCTTATGGACAACACCCCAGGGAAGTGGACTACTGCAGATGAAGGTGTCCAGTACCTGAGAGAATTGGCAGTGATGGAAGTCATCTATGGTAATCCAGATAATGATGAAGCCCCAAAAAGTCCAGAGGATGTCCCATGCACACGGGCCATGTGGAGGAAGGTGATTAAAGGTGCGCCATCCTTGTATTCTGCCGGCCTGGCCGCGATGTACTACCCAGAAATGGATGCAGGAGAAGGACTAAGATGTACGCCAACTGTGGAGGCAGTCTCTTCCTGGCTTCAGAACTTTGAAGAGAGTCTTGGTACCTCCTCATCTCTACGGGCGAGTGCCTTGGATGTTAGGAGCTCCCCAAGAAATCATTTCTCTTCTGTCCCAGTCAGGGGGAAAGGGAAGCCAAGGCGCATGACACGTGGCGAACTCTGGTTCTTCCTGCGTGACCAGGGGGAGGACATGAGGAAGTGGGATGGTCAACCCACCTTTCAGCTGGAAGCACGTGTACATGAATTGCGAGGAAAGACCCCTGCCAAGAAGACGACATCCAAGAAGGTTGTTAAAGTAGCTGGTGTAAGACCACAAGAAAGTAACCAGCGATCTCCCAGATACAGGAAGACTGAGATCACCTCCCCTGACCCTGAAGAAGGAACCTCCGGCCTGGCACGGCACGGGTCAGACAGTGAATACTCCGACCAAGAACGGGAATAGAGGGCCCCTGCCTCCAGCCAGGAGGAGGAAAGGGATGATCGGGTGTATTGGACAGTGTGGATTCGATGGCCTGGCACATCAAATCCACAGAAGTACCAGGCTTTAATTGACACCGAGGCACAGTGTACACTAATGCCATCAAGTTATAGAGGGGCAGAACCTATCTGGATTTCAGGAGTGACAGGGGGCTGTCAAGAACTATCAGTATTGGAGGCCGAGCTTAGCTTGACTGGGGACAAGTGGGAAAAACATCCCATTGTAACTGGCCCAGAAGCCCCCTGCATCTTGGGCATTGACTATCTCAAGAGGGGATACTTCAAAGACCCAAAAGGATACCGATGGGCTTTTGGTGTGGCCAGTGTGAATACAGAAAAGGTAAAACAGTTGTCTAATCTGCCTGGCCTCTCAGAAGATCCTTTTGTTGTGGGACTGTTGCAAGTTGAAGAACAACCGGTGCCAATTGCTATGAGGACCGTGCACCGACGGCAGTATCGTACAAACCGAGACTCTCTGGCTCCCATCCAAGAATTGATTCGTAAACTGGAGAATCAAGGTGTCATCAGTAAGACACACTCACCTTTTAACAGCCCAATATGGCCGGTGCGAAAGTCTGACGGAGGGTGGAGGTTAACAGTAGATTATCGTGGCCTGAATGAAGTGACGCCACCACTGAGTGCGGCTGTACCAGATATGTTAGAGCTCCAATATGAACTGGAGTCAAAGGCAGCCAAGTGGTACGCGACAATCGATATTGCCAATGCATTCTTTTCAATTCCTTTGGCAGAAGAGTGCAGGCCACAGTTTGCTTTCACCTGGAGGGGTGTCCAGTATACCTGGAATCGACTGCCCCAGGGGTGGAAGCACAGCCCCACTATTTGTCATGGACTAATTCAAACTGCACTGGAAAAGGGTGATGCCCCTGAACATCTACAATACATTGATGACATCATTGTGTGGGGCAATGAGGCAGAAGAAGTGTTCAGGAAAGGACAAAGAGTAATTGAGATTCTTCTGAGAGCTGGGTTTGCCATAAAGAAAAGCAAGGTCAAGGGACCAGCGCAAGAAATTCAGTTCTTGGGAATAAAATGGCAAGATGGACGCCGTCATGTGCCACTGGATGTTGTTAACAAGATAGCAACTATGTCTCCACCGACCAACAAGAAGGAAACACAAGCTTTCCTAGGACTTGTGGGATTTTGGAGGATGCATATTCCAGGTTACAGTCAGCTTGTGAGCCCTCTCTATCAAGTGACCCGAAAGAAGAACAATTTTCAATGGGGTCCTGAGCAGCAACAAGCCTTTGAGCACATCAAACAGGAGATAGCTCAGGCAGTAGCTCTTGGGCCTGTTCGGACAGGACCAGCTGTGAAAAATATACTTTACACATCAACTGGGGAGCACGGACTCACATGGAGCCTCTGGCAGAAGATACCAGGTGAAACTCGAGGTCGACCATTAGGATTTTGGAGCCGGGGATATCGAGGATCAGAAGCCCACTACACTCCGACTGAAAAGGAGATACTGGCAGCATATGAGGGGATTCGAGCTGCTTCAGAAGTTGTTGGTACAGAAGCACAGCTCCTCTTGGCACCACGGTTGCCTGTATTACATTGGATGTTCAAAGGAAACATCCTTTCCACACACCATGCAACCAGCGCTACCTGGAGTAAATGGGTAGCATTAATCACGCAGCGGGCTCGACTGGGGAAACCCAACCATCCAGGGATCCTGGAAGAGATCATGGACTGGCCAGAAGGTAGAGATTTTGGAGCGTTGCCTGAGGAGGTGGCTCGTGCCCAAGAGGCACCACCATATAACGAGTTACCAGAAGATGAAAGGCGTTATGCTCTCTTTACTGATGGATCCTGTCGTGTGGTAGGAAGCCATCGGAAGTGGAAAGCTGCTGTGTGGAGTCCCACAAGACAAGTCGTTGAGGCCACTGAAGGAGAAGGCGAGTCAAGTCAGTTTGCAGAAGTAAAAGCAATCCAACTAGCCCTAAAGATTGCTGAACGGGAGAAGTGGCCAGTACTATATCTCTACACGGACTCCTGGATGGTGGCTAATGCCCTGTGGGGGTGGCTACAGGAGTGGAAGAAAACCAATTGGCAGCGCAGAGGTAAACCCATCTGGGCTGCTGCATTGTGGCAGGACATCGCTGCCCGAGTGGAAAACGTGGCTCTAAAGGTGCGTCATGTAGATGCTCATGTGCCCAAAAGGCGTGCCACTGAAGAACATCAAAACAATGAGCAAGCAGACAAAGCTGCCAAAATTGAAGTAGCTCGGCTGGACCTGGACTGGGAGCGTAAGGGTGAGCTGTTTGTAGCTCGATGGGCCCATGAAACATCAGGGCATCTTGGCAGAGATGCAACGTACAGATGGGCTCGTGATCGAGGGGTGGACCTGACCATGGAGGCCATCTCACAGGTCACTCATGAATGTGAAACATGTGCTGCAATCAAGCGAGCCACACGAGTAAAGTCTCCCTGGAACAGAGGGCGATGGCTGAGTTTTCAATATGGTGAGGCCTGGCAGATTGACTATGTTGGACCACTGCCACGAACACGCCAAGGCAAGCGCTACATACTCACCATGGTAGAAGCAACTACGGGATGGCTTGAAACATACCCTGTAAATCATGCCACTGCCCGAAATACCATCTTGGGTCTTGAAAGGCAAATTTTATGGCGGCATGGTACTCCTGAGAGAATTGAATCAGACAACGGGACCCATTTTCGAAATAATCTTATAAACTCCTGGGCAAAGAAACATGGTATTGAGTGGGTGTATCACATCCCTTATTACCCACAAGCATCTGGAAAGGTTGAAAGATATAATGGACTACTGAAGACTATGTTGAGAGCATTGGACAATGGGGGATGGAAGCATTGGGATATAAATTTAGCAGAAGCCACTTGGCTAATTAATACCAGAGGATCTGTTAACGGTCCTGGTCCTGCCCAAACAAATCCCCTTCATACTGTGGGAGGAGATAAGGTCCCTGTAGTACACACAGGGAGATGGCTGGGGAAGGCAGTGTGGATTGCTCCTTCCTTGGGAAAAGGCAAGCCCACTCGTGGGATTGTCTTTGCTCAGGGACCTGGATGTACTTGGTGGGTAATGCGGGAGGATGGGACTACTCAGTGTGTGCCTCAAGGACATTTAACCTTGGGGGGAAAGTAATCTGTGGGATGAGTTGTATGTTGCAGGAAGTGATGGAGGAAGTAGAAACGATGAAGAGTGAACCAGATGCGTGCAATGATGACCCAAACCTAGCCGGTGCTGGAGTCCAACAGTCAAGCATACTTCTGTCCTGAACATCTATCTTGACAGAGGGAAGCCAAGTCACTGAACATCTGAAGAGTGAAGAAAGCTTATGGAATGGATAAATGAACATTATGTGGGACCTGGGCATAACATAAATGGTATGGAATAAGGGGTGGAGAATGTACTGGGTCTGGCTGAACTGGAATTGGTTTTCCCCTACAGCAGCCCTCACGGTGCTGTGTTTTATGTCGGGAGCTGGCAGGGTGTTGATAGCACCCTGGTGTTGTGGCTACTGCTGAGCAGTGCTTACACAGCACCAAGGCTCTTTCTGATATTTCCCCCAGTGGGACGGGGTGGGCAAGATCTTTGGGAGGGGACACAGCCAGGACAGCTGACCCAAACCGACCAAAGGGATATTCCATACCATATGACGTTTGCTCAGTATAAAGCTGGGAGGAAGGAGGCAGGGGGTGGGGTCACCCTTGGTCCTCCGAAGCAACCACTACGTGTATTGGAGCCCTGCTTCCTGAGAAGGCCCGACATCGCCTGTCCATGGGAAGTAGAGACTAAATCTGTTTGCTTTTGCTTCCGCGCGCAGACTTTTGCTTTGCCTTGCTTATATTAAAACTGCTTTTGTTTCACCCACAAGGGTTAGTTTATCTTCTTTCCCCTCTTTACCCTATTGAGAAAACAAGGGGAAAAAGGGGGGGGAAGTGATAGAGCGACTTGGTGGATACCTGGCATTTAGCCAGTCAAACCATCACAATGGCCTAGCAATTAAAAGAACTCTGTCCATAAATCTTCCAGTTCAGAGGGATGGAATACTTATAGCAAGTTTCATCCACATAGAATTTTTTGAAATAAATACTAGCAGCAAATTACTGCTCAGTGCATTACTGCAGCTTCCCTTCTACACCCTGTGAAAAATGCACTACTTATATCACATGCTTGCCATAGTTGATACAAGGGCAGAGGAAGTAGGGGATGATATTGCTTTTGCCCCTCATCCCTACATCACAAAGTTACTATATAGGTCAATTTTCCTTCCTTAACAAAATACGATCCTTCTAAATAAGGATTTCTTTGAGGAAATAAAGCAAAATGCAGTTGTTTTCCACATCAGGAACTCAGGATGGTCAAGTTACTTTTATCAACAGTGACAGCAATATCAAGATTAAATAACTTAATTCTATTGCAATTACTAGAAAGTGCCACAGGGGGAAAAAACTAAAAAGCGTAATGTGTTATAAACTCCATTTATTTTAATCAGAAAAATTTTGATGGCCTTTCCTACTTATTACTGCAGTAAAAGGGGAGCCATATCAAACTTCCAAACAGGATTTAGATGTATTTATTCTCACTGTAAGTTAAAGCATAAGTTAAACCTCACAACAGAGCAAAACAGTATTTTGGGAAGCAGATGTGAGGTTGAGACAGTGAAGTGGTATAAGGAGGGCATCCAGCTCCATGTGCTGAACTCTGAATGCAAAAACACAGCTTCCACCAAAACAAAGATTCAGAAGAATGCCATTTTATACTACATTTAATGCTGTTAAGTGGGGAGGCCTTGTGAGGCTGAAAACAAACCTCAGCAGCTACATCACATTTAACTGAGCTGAACAGACTGCTCTTGTAAGAGAAAGTCAAGGTCTTGCATTGGAGATGTCACAAACATCCTCCCTCCTTACACAAATCCAGTTCTTTTCAGATCTTCCTATGACCTCACTTAACATTTTCTTCTCTTGATGGGATACTTCATCCCAGCTAATTTAATCAGTTAGATCTGGTCACAACAGGCCAACAGGGCACCAGAGCCAGTAGAAGGCAGACAAGGGGACCATGACTAAGGCAGGCAGTGGAGCCACAGCTCCCCTTTCAGAGCCAATGCCTCATTAAGATGGCTGTCTGTCTACCTCCCTCTGAAGAAGTCACAACATGATTAAGTAGGAAGCTCCAGTTTAAGCATTATGACTTCTTGGCATCTGAAGCAAAGGTGGATTATGACAGAAATTCTGAGGTTTCCCTGACACACCAGCATGGTCAAAGACCACTGCATAAACAGAATTAGATTTCCCCCTAGGGAAAATTATATTTGGTTTTGGATTTGTCTTCATTCTCTATTTTTTCTTTCCTGTAAAAAAAGTTCTTTTCACATCAGCGCTAAACTTACACCAAATAAGTTATTCCTGGGAATCCTAAAGACATCTTCATTATTTCTGGTGTTGAAAATAAGACACCCTTTCCTCCTCAGAGTTTTTCTAAACTTTACCAAAATACACTGCAAATGCTTGCAACAGTACATTTATGTAAGAATTTCCAAGTACACAAAAAAAGGGCATGATATTAGCAAGTCTGTCATTCATACAGCAGCCTGAATGCAAACTGAACATATTTTAATTGTCCATTAATACTCAAATTCAGCTAATTTCATCTTCATTGAGACAGATACTCTCTTCCATAAACACCTTTATCCACATGACAATTAAAATGAGATGTATTGAAATAGGTGATGGAAGTTGGACACAATCACTTGTAAAAATGTATACCTGTGCATAGATTAGGTTTGGGAAACAGCCTTACACTGTCTAGAATTAAAAGCACAAGCTACAGGCAGCAGTTTCAGCATCTCCATGCACAGGCCCTGTTGACAACCCAGCCAAGCACACTGCTCAAGTGTGGAACATATCTATACATGCAGATTCATAACAACCAGGCAACTACTATAATTCTGAATTTTAATTCCTCCATGTAAGAAGGAAACTAGGGTAAAATGAATGGTTACAGCTCTTACCAGCTATAGGATCCATGGCTTCCCTATTGCTTGGAGAATATGAACTCTGAGAAGATGAAAGCCCACCAGAGGAACTGGTAGTAAAGTGCATGTTTGATCTACGTGCACGAGGGCCTCCCAAACCCCGGCCTGGGTGGAACATCCTACGTACATGCCGAACACCACTGGATTCATCGTAACCAAGAAGTTAAGAAAACAGAACTGTTTGGCATTGACTATTAAACAGCAAGGACATTTGATGGGTGAAATACGCAGGCATGCACTGTTACTCACTCCTAAAATAACAATGCAACTTCTGAAGCAAAGGTAAACTACACTGTAGCTACGGTGCAAGTAAGACATACTGATCTGAGCTCAAGATACCTAGTCATGTGTACACCAAGCTCCCAGTGTTTCTCCACCTTTTTGTAGTGTCTACAAAACATCAGCATTACTTTCTTAGTTTTTGTAGATCAAAGTTTTCTACTCACTAATCTGAAAACTGACAAATGCATATTCACCCAAGCTTATTAAAGAGGTTTTTATTCTCCCTCCCCAATTCTTAAGTATCAAAAATGATAAAGTTTATTGTCATTCCTATCAAAAGTGCATAATACTGTATTCCTTTTGACTTCTGTACTTCATTATTTTATCCAAGTTTTATCACTTCAGTCCTTACGATACTGAGGTTTCTGGAGAATTCAGCACTTTCATCACACCCCTTTCTTTCACCTTTCCTCTTTTAGCCAAAGAAATAGCAGTAATTCCAGTTATGACAATGATGCCTTTCATTTTCCTGGTTTACCCTACTTGTCCATATCAGATGCTTATATTTCAAATCATACCTTTTATACACTTCCTCATATAAATTCAGACAATCAACAAATTATTTAAAGGTGTTTTTTTTGAAAGTTATTAACATTCATTCTTCCAAGACAGCCCAGATAAGGCTTCCTTTTATTTAAAAAAATCCAAGTATAATTCACTAGTGCAAAATGAAATAGCATAGGCTTGAATATTTTTATTTTACTGTTACTAGACTTCTAGCTTAGATCCTACCATCTCCCGTTTCTTTGTTTTTATAACCACAGAATTATCTAGGTTGGAAAAGACCTTGAAGATCATCCAGTCCAACCATTAACCCAACACTGACAGTTCCCAACTACAGCAGATCCCTCAGTGTTATGTCAGCCCGACTCTTAAACACCTCCAGGGATGGGGACTCCACCACCTCCGTGGGCAGCACATTCATTCCAATGCCTAACAACCTGCTCTGCAAAGAAATGCTTCCTAATATCCAGTCTAAACCTTCCTTGGGGCAACTTGAGGCCATTAATAGTATGCTTACTACTTATATGGTATCCATTACTGTATAAGAGTAATGTCCAATGTACTTTTCACAAAACACAGAGTGGAAAACCTCAGGGCATCATGGAGGTCAAGAACTTAAAACTGAAAGAAGTTACTAGACTTCTCATGGCAAGAAAGAACTTCTGGCTATTACAAAAAGATTTTAGAGAAAGTTTGCCTCTTTCAAACTCATCAGTTACGTTACAGTGTAAACCACTTAACATCTAGGGTGTAAGAGGCACATAACATACTTTGCCTAGCATAGGGTGCCTTTCACCTCTGAGTGTACTAAAACTGGATGCTGCTGGTCAGGAGATACCATAGTAGATGGACTAATGTCCCCATGGTGTTTGGCAAGCTTTTCGTAACTAGACCTGGTAGAAAGGGACAATATTGGGGAATTTTTCAAGCAGACACAATACTGTGGTATAACTTTCCTAATTGCAGCTTTTAAAGTGTTTTGAGATAAACCATTCTTTAAATACTTAGCTAAGTGTGCACCAAAGTCTCACGAGCTGTGCTAGATTAACATTTACAAGGGTTTTTCTTAATTTGTGACAAACAGGTAAACTGAATAGTCATGTGAGAACTATTTATATGATTGATGCTGAAAAGCTGTATTTAATAAATTTTCAAATATTTTCCTGCTGAAGTAAGAAACTGGGCTTTAAAGAGCTGTCTCTAGACTGTAGGAATAAAGGACATACCTTGCAATGGTTGCACAAGGTTTATAACAGGAAACATATGCAGCCTTCTGGGACAATTTAAGAAAAAAACACAAAAAAACCCAAAACCCAAAATAAACCACACATGTCTAATCAACACTTGGAAGATGAGGCCAGCCACTCCTCATAACTCCAGGAGTAAAAGCTTACCTCAAACTAACAGAAATCTTCACTCTAGAAAAAGTGCAAGCAAAGAGTCTTCTCTCTTTCCATCTCCTTTTTGTACATAAAGGTTGTTACAGAGCATGGAAAGTTGTTCTGTACAACTTTAAACTCATATGATGTTTGGAACAGCAATAAAATGGTATTAGAGACCAGCTCTCTCACAGCTCCATGACTTTGACAGTTATTCCTTCCTGCTCCACCAGACCTTGGATGAAAAGGGGCATCTCTTCTTTTTTTCCTACTTCAGACCTGCCTATCGTTAGATATGATGTAGAGACCAGCATGGAATAATCACTTCAGGATACACTTATCGTGTTTTGGAGACTTGACAACACTGATCACTAAATAACAGTGTACAAGCAGAAAATTCTACATGCATTGTTTTTAATACTGATTCATGGACAATGTATTCCCAAAATATATCCAAGATAGATCCATTTTGGTATGACCAACATTGAAGACTTACTCTGTATTTGAAAAGATCGATTTTGCTAGCTCAACCATTCCCAAGCTAAAAGTCAGCTATCTGGTGGCATCTCTGATACCACCAGAGGGGGAGAAAAAACTGCAGAATCATCAATTCTAATCAAACACCTTGTTCATTCCAGTAGGAAATTAATTTCACCCTTAACTTGGAAAATTTAAGCTTCCTGGACTACAGAGCAGTTAAGCTGATGTTGGAAGCCAGCAATGTACCAAAGGTAAAAGTGTGATGTAGTTAATAGGGATGTAAATTTTGTTAGAAAAAAACATATTAGAAAAGTGCTACAAAAAACTCACAATTGGTAGAAAGAGCAGAACTAAACTTATACAAGAATTGCTCAGTGACTCACTACACCAGTTATCAAGCAACACTGAAAAGCCATCTAAAGGCCAGGAAAGATCCAATGGTGTGGAAGACGCTCTCCCCTCAATCTCATCCCACCTCTACCTGAAAGGGAGGATGACAAGACCCTGCCTTGGGGGGCATCTGACTGTGGAGGACCTCCATGGACACTTGTGATCAAGTTCATATGACCAGAGCCACTGCATTCAGCACTCAGCTCCTCCCAACCACTAAGAGCCCCTCTCCTGTCCACAGGGAAAAGTGGAGATAACGGCTTTTATCTAACTTTGTAGTGTTCTTCGCATTATTAGTTACTCCTCTGCAGAGCAAAAAGTGAAAGTCCTTTACACTGATCCAATTATTCTGTAGTAATTAACATGTGGCTTTAGCCTGTCCTGACGCTAAAGTCATGGTAACTCTAGCAAACTTAAAATGTAATCAAACACAATCAAAACTGAAACAGAGCCATCTTCCTTAACACTGTCTCCCTGGTGCTAGCATAAGAAACTCTAGTTGCTAGGGCTTAGATTTTTTTTCCCTTTTTTTAAAAAAGCCACTATCAAAGTAATAACATTTTTTTTTGTCTGTCTGTTTAAATGAGCCACAAAGGAATACTTCAGAGAGATTACTTACTGTATGAGGCTATGTACCCTGCATGTCATTTAAATAAAAAGCCCAAACCAAAATACTTTTAATCAGTTAATCCGGGGTGGGGGGGGTGGGATTAAACAAAAGAAAATCCTAGATCAAGTATTTAAAAAAAAAAAAAGCCAATAGTTCCAGCTCTTCAGCGTATGTTCTTCTGTATAACCTGTTAAGCTAACTGAAAGACAACATCCTATTTCCCAGCAAATCTAAAAGTTTTCTGAGTTATATTATAAAATCTCAGTAACACTATGAAATTGTATTATTAAAACATAGTGTTAAAGTTCCATGAAAACCAGAACCTTTTTACTATAAAAATCAAAACAAGTCATCATTGCTGCTACATGAAACAGCCTAGCCTTTCTGCCTCAACTTGGAAAGGATATTAAATCTCTAGGAGCTCTGTGTTCCAGTGTAAGATGAGCTGCGAAGTCATCTGTGACATGATTCGGATCCCCTCCAGGTAATGCTGCACATATTGGACAAATCTGAAATGACAAAGTGAGAAAAAAAAAAACCAGCTTTACAAATTTTACACAAAACAGACACACTGAATCAATCATTAGATGTTGATTCTTATGCTTTAAAGAAAATCACATTCTAGGTACTCAAACACTTGGATAGCAATATATTCAAAAGACCCAGAAAACATATTCAAGTGCAAAAATTATTTTAGGATTCTTTATGATTTTCAGAATGCTATGAAAACCTGAGCTAGAATATTGAAATGCAATTTACAATGTCTTGAAAATTAGTCTTTGTATGCCAGTTCTGCCACAGACAGCAGTCTGATTACACAGGATTACTACTGCCTGCTTGACACTCATCCCAGAGGAGTCAGAATGAAACTACATGTAAGTATTTGTTAAAGTATCAAACTGGGACCACCCATCCAGACAGTGCATAACTACAGGTCTGACAGAAGAGTTGATCTCCATATCCCTACCACAACAGTATTTTGGGAGAAGGCACCGATGTCTTTTTTTTTTTTTTAAACAAAAATACACGTTAAGTAGACAGTGCGATTACAATTTCCATAATTACGACTTATTTTCTGAATGACCACAAACAGTTTGAAAAGTATCTTCCTTCTTTCTTCGCAATATTTTGCAGATTAATTTTAAAATCTTACAGATGGCAGACAAAAAAATAATTCCACATAATTATTCCCCAAATGTTAAGTGCTCAGCACTTTGAGAGTTAAGTGCAACCACTGTCTATGAATTTACCTTTGCTCCTCACAGTCAAATAGTCTTGAATTTATGGAGCAACTCTGGCTGCAACATAAAGTCTAGGTTGCCAGTGCTCTTCGTGTATATACTTAAATTGTTAACAGTAAATATCAAAAGATTGGGGGTGCTAAGAACACCTATATAATGGCATACACACCTATATTTCTCTTATGGAGGTGAGGAAAAGGTCTTGAAATAAGTTTACTATAAAATCTCCACTCCTTTTCACAGCAACTGTTACATTTTTAACACCACCTTAATTTTTGTAGTCAGCTCTCTGCAGAAAACCAGACATTTTAAGAGCATTTCGCTAGAAACTCTTCCCATTTATTTTTAATGTTCAGCATTCCTTTTCAGAGAACATCTCTTCCCAGATTTTTCACCACTACAGAAGCCATACAAGTGGACATGCTACAGAGCAAAGACATCTTATTACAGTGTAATATAATAAATAATCAACTGTGCCAACATATCATACCCTTCAGGGATATAGGAATAGATGAATATTGGACAGATGGTTCTGAAGTCCATAAACTTATTTAAAGGCTGCCTAATCTTCGATAATGTCTTTCATAACAACAGGAGACAACACCTTAAAGCAATCTGGTTTTCATTTAAGCTACTCTGAGGAAGCAGAACACCAACATGAGAAGAATAACACACATCTGAAAGCAGTGAAGCAAAAGAAAGTTCTTTTGCTGAACAGGACAGGACAATGGCATTATGAACAATGTGTATGTGCCTGATAAGAGAGACAGCCCTCAGAAAAAATTGGGCTAAGAAAAGGTTATAAAGAACAAGTATCCTAACACTAATTCTAAAAATGAACTAAATTTCACAAACAGTCTGACTGGGAAAAGTTACTCAAGCATTGTTACATGCAAACAAAAATTCTGTTAAACAAACTCTGACAAAACACAAAGACTGTAGCCTCATAGATGAAACATGACAACTGAAAATCACTTTTAAGAGAACACACATGAACAAATGGTGCAAATGAGAGGAAAACACCATCAGAAGCTTCCCCTGAAGTTATGATCATCTGTATTAAAAAAATCATCATGCTACCCTGAATATGTCTGAAAGATGACTGCAAAGTCCTACATCAATCATGTTCACAGAATACCTGACAGTTTCCAGAAGTCTGCTTATATTATCACTACTTCCCTATTTAAATACAAGGTAACCACCTGAAATCACAGTATTTCTGTAACCTCAACAACAGACACTGTAATCTTCAAAAATGAAAGAGGAACCAGACTGTCCTAGATAGTCTGTTTTTGTCTATTACTGCAAGAAAAGCTCTCCTCAATAATATTAGTAACATATCCTAGTCCTTACAGTTCATGTACAAGGAGCCTAGCTACTGCCTTGCAAAACTCAAGAAAGTGGCTGCAGTACAATACAATAGAAAATTTGTGTCTGTTCTGAAATGAGGTTCAGAGACGTCATCTTATCTAGCAGTGGAACTGGCTGTTCCCTGGACACCCAGCCTCATGAGCTGGGACATGGGGAGAGGAAGCAGAACAAGGTCATCACAATTAAAGAGGAGGTGGTCAGAGACTTGCTACACCACCTGGATGCACACAGGTCTGTGGGACCAGATGGGTTACACCCAAGGGTGCTGAAAGAGTTGGCAGATGTGCTCGCCAAGCTGCTGCCCATGATTTACCTGAAGTCATGGCTGACTGGGGAGGTCCCATGGAACTAGAGGGTGGCAAATGTGACACCCATCTACAAGAGAGGCAGAAAGGAGGATCCAGGAAATTATAGACCTGTCAGTCTGACCTTGGTGCCAGGGAAGGTCATGGAGTAGGTCATCTCGAGTGCCATTACAAGTCATATAATGGAAAACCAGGGGATCAGGCCCAGTCAGCATGGGGTTATGAAAGGCAGGTCCTGCCTGACAAACCTGATCTCCTTCTATGACAAGATGACCCGACTATTGGACGAGGGAAAAGCTGTGGATATTTTCCACCTGGATTTTCGAAAAGCATTTGACACGGTTCCCCATAGAATTCTCATAGAAAAACTGTCTGCCCATGGCCTGGATGAGCGTACGGTCTGCTGGGTCAAGCACTGGCTGGATGGACGCTCCCAGAGAGTGGTGGTCAGTGGAGCTAAATCCAGCTGGCGGCCGGTCACACGTGGTGTTCCTCAGGGCTCGGTGTTGGGACCATTTCTGTTCAACATCTTCATTGATGATCTTGGTAAGGACACAGGGTGTATCATCAGTAAGTTCACAGATGACACCAAGTTAAGCAGGAGTGTTGGTCTGCATGAGGATAGGGAGGCTCTGCAGAGAGACTTGGATAGATTGGATCAGTGGCCAATGTCAACGGGATGAGCTTCAACAAGGCTAAGTGCCATGTCCTGCACTTGGGCCACAACAGCCCCATGCATGGCTACAGGCTTGGGGAGGTGTGGCTGGAGCTGTCTGGAAAAGAAGCATCTGTGGTTCTAACTGACAAGCAGCTGAACATGAGCTGGCAGTGTGCCCAGGTGGCCAAGAAAGCCAAGGGCATCCTGGCTTGTGTCAGAAACAGTGTGACCAGCAGAAGTAGGGAGGTGACAGTCTCCCTGTACTCTGCACTGGTGAGGCCACACCTGGAGTGTTGTATTGAGGTGCCCAAAACTGGACACCTCAATACGAGAGAGATATCGAGGTGCTGGAGCGAGTGCAGAGGAGGGCAACAAAGCTGGTGAAGGGCTTGGAGAACAAATCCTATGAGGAGCGACTGAAGGAGCTGGGACTGTTTAGTTTGAGGAAGAGAAGGCTGAGAGGAGACCTCATCACTCCCTAAAGCTACCTGAAAGGACACTGTAGAGAGGTTGGTGCTGGTCTCTTCTCACAGGTGACTGGCGATAGAACAAGAGGGAATGGCTTTAAACTGCAACAGGGGAGATACAGACTGGGCATTAGGAAATAATATTTCAGAGAAAGAGTGGTCAGACAGTGGAATAGGCTGCCCAGGGAGGGGGTGGAGTCACCATCTCTGGATGTGTTTAAGGGTGGTTTAGATGAGATGCTGGGGGATATGGTGTAGGGGAGAACTTGTAGAGTAGGGCTGGTGGTTGCCATAACACTTTCTCCTCAAGGCCTAAAAGGGTGTTCCAGGCAGTGGCATGGGACACGCCATGAGTTTCGAACGAACCAGTGGCTGCTTCCACCATTGTAAGCACATAGTGTTTGCCTTGCCTAGTTTGTGGGAAGAGTGATATAATGAATCTGCCAGGCCTCCCCATATTTATATTTTGACCATTGTCCTCCATACCATTTGGCTTGATTGTAACACATCCCATATTCATGAATTACCCATGCAGTAACATCCATGGTTAAGTCCACCCCTCAGTCATGAACCCATCTATATATTGCATCTCTTCCCTGATGGCCTGAGGAGTCATGGGCCCAGCGAGCCATAAACTGTTCACCCTGATGTTGCCAGTCCAGATCTACTTGAGCCACCTTGATCTTGGCAGCCTGTTCTGCCTGTTGGTTGTTCTGATGTTCTTCAGTGGCCTGGCTCTTGGGTACATGAGCATCTACATGGTGTGCTTTCACAAGCAGATTCTCTAGTCAAGCAGCAATGTCTTGCCATAATTCAGCAGCCCAGACGGGTTTGCCTCTGCGCTGACAGTTGCTCCGTTTCCACTGCTGTAACCACCCCCACAGGGCATTTGCCACCATCCATGAGTCAGTACAGAGGTAGAGCACCGGCCACTTTTCCCACTCAGCAGAAGGTCAGCTATACCAAAAGCCTACCGATAACCTTTTGGGTCCTTAAAATAACCTCTCCTGAGATAATCTGTGCCAAGAATGCATGGAGTGTCTGGACCACTCACAATGGGGTGTTTTTCCCACTCTTTTCCACTTAGGCCCATCTTGGCCTCCAATACAGTCAGCTGTTGAGACCCCCCCCATCACTCCTGAAATACAGATGGGTTCTGCTCCTTTAAAGTTTGATGGCATTAGGGTGCATTGCACACTAGTGCCCACTACAGCCTTATACTGCTGGGGGTCAGATGTGCCAGGCCATCGAGTCCAAAGAGTCCAGTAAACTCGGTTTTCCCTGTCCTCCGCCTGGCTGGAGGCAGGGCCCCTCTGATGTTGGTCATAATACCCACTAACGACAAATGGGTTAGTGTGGTGTGCACAGGCTTCAGCCTCATCTTGATCACTCACTTCTTATGAATACAAGTCAGAAGTTCTTCTCATAGGATCATGATCAAAGTCGACTTTTCTGCTCCATTTGGGCACTTGATTAATGGAAACCGGAGCAGCATTTCTCCTGAAAGTGAAATGGGGAGTAAAAATAGAAAATTGAAATAAAATACAGAAACTAGACATTGAGTAAATAAAACTTAGGAATTAGAGATCCAGTAGTTAAAGGATGACCAAGTTAGAATGGAGTTGCAAGATAGGAAGGAATGGAGTAGAAAGATAAGAAGATAGCCCTGGGAACTGGTTGAAACCATCCCTGTGGTTTAGACTAAACCCAGGAGGCTACAGAGACTGCACTAGAAACAGAGGTGAAAAGTTCCACAGTGAGGAAGAGGAGATACTTTATCTCTGAGACCCCAGCCCACGACCACAAGGAGACACTGCGCAGGTGCAACTAGGAGGAGACCAGGGCGGAGCACATGGAAATGACTTCTTAGAACTCATTACAATAAAACCTGTCTTTTTGTGGAGAGATCATGACTATGTACAGGCATTTTTGAAAATATCATGAGTATGTAACACTTCGTTGTATAAAGCCAAGACAAATTACCATGGTGGTTGCGCACATTTGTGGTGGAGTAATCCCCTGTGAGCCTCAGCGCTGGATAAACATACCTTATAAGCTTATAGGTTGTGGAGTTGTGTTTCCAAGTCAGAAGGACCACATTCTGTACTTGTTCCTCCTTCCAGCTCACATACCCGCTTTTTTAGGGGGTATGTAGGTTTTCCATCCCATTTCTTTATGTCTTCTCCATGGTCACACAGGCAACGCCAACAGCTTCCCCCATGGTGGGTACCAGTTCCTTCGAGTAGAGAAACGATTGGTCCCAATAGCCAAAATTCTGGTCTGTGCAGGTGGGGAGTAGGACATATTCTCTTTAATTTGCTGGACATCTTGAGATAATTTGTTCATAGCTGCGATGATGGGGGAAGATACACTTTCTTCATATTGTTGTAGTCAGCGAGCCAGTTCATTCACTGTTGGTCCCTCTTCATCTGTCCAGTCCATTATTGCTAAAGCATTGGCATATGATGACTGAGTGCTCCATACAGAAGTCCTCCACATGGGCAAGGTGTATCATCACCCTGTACACTGTGAGGGGATTTCCTTGTGTATTTCTTCTTCTGTATGGGAGCAACTGACACTGTCATGAGTTGGTTCTCTGGGTCAGCTACAGCACCTGTCCCTGGGGTTGTAGCAACTGCAGTTTCTGTTTCTTGGTTACCAGGTGCAGAGCCCTTCTCTTCCTCTTGAGGGTGCTGAACAGTGTTAAATAGCACTCGGTAAGCGTGGGCTATGCCCCAGAATGTTGTAGTGAGCTGTGCCTCTCTGGAATTACCCTGGGTGACAACATACTTTTTCCAAATATTCCACTAGTTCTTCAGGATTCCGCACCTGTGCAGGAGTGAAGTTCCAATACACCAGAGGTGCCCACTGTTCCAGATACTTGCCCATTCTACTCCACACGCCCAGCCACTACCCTGGGGTAGGTTTCCAAGTGATACTGTTAAATAGTAGCTTAACCATAAACAAAACCAAAACCACATTCAGGAACACACTAGCTCTTAACAGCAAGCCAACCACGTTTATGTCAACATTCCAAAGATACTTGAACCCCCCAAATTTCTCAAACACAACTGTAAATTGCCCCAGGGCTGATGACTGCACCCTATCATAGATGAGCATCACATAGTACAACAGAAACTTATGGAGCACAGCAACCACACCCCCACAGCAATAACAGGACCCGATGGTGCCAGCCCAAGCCAGGGGAGAGCCCACCCACCTAAATCCCTCGGCATGACATCACAAGGTATGAAATACTCCAATGAAAGTTAACTCCATCCTGGTCGAAACCAGGACAACATGGTCCTGGGCAACCAGCTGTAGGTGGCCCTTCTGGAGCAAGGGCTGGACAAGATGACTGCCAGAGGTCCCTTCCAACCTCAGTCAGTGTGATTCCTGCCCACAAGTACCTAATAGCGGTGTACTGCCAAAGTGGTGTAATGCCACGTACCTGAGAAATCAGCAAGTATGTGTCTTCTCTGTGACACTCTGAACATAAAATGGCAAAATTTAAGGGATGAAAAATTCTTTGACTCGTTCTTTGAAAAATGGAGTGGGGTGGTGTGAGGGCTGTAAAACAAAAGTGATTCTGTCCCTGTAAACTTCCCTTAAAAATTTATAAATAAAATAAACCACAGCTTTGGATGGACAGAGATACTAAGAGGTCTACAAGCCCAGTATCGAAACAAATAATTCCTTGAAAGCCAAAGACCCCAGACATTTGTAATCTGTAATATGTTCCTATTTAGTAATGTAGCCTTTCACTATCTACAGTAAGACTGCCCTACCCAAGTAGTTTTATGTGAACACACTAAACATTTATCACAAAAGCTATATTCAAAACTTAGCACAAACATACACAATCATACTCAAGGATTATTGTTTAGAACAAAGATGTAACAATGTTGCAGACTGACAAGAAAAAGGTTTGGGTTATTTTTGTACACATACAACTCTTTCAGGAAACAGTGGAGTAGCAGGTGTCTAGAATCACAAATTTAGGCTTTATGTACTGAGTTCTAGAAGTCACAGCTACAAACAAGGATGTGTCAAACTTTAAAACCTAGAATCTTAACATTGTGTGTCAGGAACATATCACTGACATCAAGTGGTACAAGTCAGAACTGCAATACCAAGCCACCAAAGAAAGTCATCCAAACATGGAATTTTCAATGATTGATACCATGTTTGAAAGCTGCAAAGTTAGAGAAAAACGAGATTATAAAAATTTCAATGTGTAGCTAAATTAAATTATGATCCTACAGTGCAATTGATTGTGAAGTAAACTATTTCACTTCACATGTTTTTAAGAAAGACCAGAACACCTTTGAATCTCAAAAAGGTAGACAAGCACCTTCACTATCACTCCTTCACACAAGATCCTTAATAGGCTTGGAAAGGTTATTTATACAAACTAGAAGATTAGAGAACTGTGTTGGGTTTGTGTGGGGCAGGGTTTTGGTAGTGGGAGAGGAAGCTACAGAGGTGGCTCCTGTGAGAAGATACTTGAAGTTCCCCCAGGTTCAAGTCAGATCTGTCTCCAGTCAAGGCCAAGCCTCTGTGGTAAAATTTAAAAAAAGATTTAAGAAAGGGAACCTGAGAGGAGGAGTTGTGAGGGAGATACCTATGCAAACACTAAGGTCAGTGGAAGAAAGGAGCAGGGAATGGAGAGGTGCACCCAAGCACAAGTTTCCCCTGCAGCCTGTGTAGAGAGGGCAGGCTGTCCCCCTGCAGCCCATGGAGGTCCACAGTGGAGCAGATGCCCACCTGCAGCCTGTGGACGATCCCACATCAGAGCAGGTGGCTGCATGTAAGGAAGGTTGGGACTCTGAGGGAAGGCCGTGAGGGAAGCGCATGTTGGAGAAGTCTGCTTCTGAGAGGACTGGAGTCCACAGTAGGGACCCACACTGGAGTAGTTCGTGAAGAGCTGCAGCCTATGGGAAGGACTCACATCAGAGAAAGTTTGTGGAGGACTATATCCCATGATAGAAGACCCCACAGTGGAGAAGGGGAAGAGTGTGAAGAGTTGTCCCAACTGAGGAGGAAGCAGAGACAACGTGTAATGAACTGACTGCAACTCCCATTCCCTGACCCCTCCACTGCTTGAGGGGAGGAGATAGAGAAATCAGGAGCAAAGCTGAGCCCAGGAAGAAGAAAGGGGTGGGGGTGAAGGTCTTTAAGATGTGGTTGTATTTCTCACTGTCCTACTCTTTTGATTGGTAAATTGGTGGTGGTGTGTTCAAATTAAATTGAAGATCTTTTTTTCCTCCCCCAATCGAGTCCGTCTTTTGCCCATGACCATAATGGGTGAATCATTTCTCCCTGTCCTTGTTTGAATATGAGCCTTTAGTTTTATTTTCTGTTCCCCATTCCTGAAGATGAAAGGAATGAGCAAGCAACTGAGCAGTTGCCCTCTGGACTTGAGCCATAAGAACCTCCTCTTAGGCAATTTCTTTACAATATATTAGTGATGTGTAATCAACTTGAAGCATTCATATTTTTCTAGGAATCTATGGTACAGCAATTAATCAGAAAAGAGTACCCTAGATGTCATTCTGATAATCTAGTTTCTCCTACTCCAAAAGACAACCAGGAGCTAACATTTCAGATTAAAGTATTTCTGATGACACTTGGTTAAGTGTGTTTTTAACTATGTTGTGTCCTAATGGTTAAGGATGAGGAAAATCCCTGCTTTAACAATAGTTTCAAAAGAATGACAGCTTTCACTGCATAGCTTTTGTGATGAACCTACTAGTATATCTATCTGAAACCAAACTGTCTGCATGTCTTCCTCTCTCAGTTACAAAAAACTGGCACAGATATGAGCTTCCAGGACAATTACATACTGGTTATGAAAACGGATACAGATACACAGAATAACCATGAGAACATTCTAAACTTTGTCTTACAGGATAATAAGCTCCTAAACATGGCAGCTTTTACATCAGGACAACCAAACAGCAACCACAGAAGAAAGCAAGCTTATTATATTACAATACCCAGAAAACACAGAATTTTAAATGTCACTGTCGAATGTAGTATGTCTTCTCACAAAATAATTAAATGAACTCATGCTTGAAAAGGAAGAACAAGAACAGGAGGGTACCAATTTTCCAGAAAAGAGACCCTTAATATATTTCCACCACAACTGAAATCCAGTTCTGAAACTTCTTACCACTTCTGTTGATGTTTCTGCATGCTCAGAAGTAACATGTTCTTGAAGAGATGTTTCCGTATAACCCATTCTCCCACAATAAGGACAAGTAAAAGACTGTGGCTGTTCTACAGAGAAAGCTTCTCCACCATAGTACAAATCTGGAACAGAAAGTGTTTAAATAGAGGTTACTTCAAAGCAGTAGCATAATTTATTTTTTTCATGTAAACCTCTGTTTGTAAGTGTACTTCCATCTAACCACTGCCCAATTAATCTGGTTTTAACTGAAATGGATACTTTAATCTTGTATAAAGGCTATAGGCTGTTATTCAAGAAGTGTTCACTTACTGATCACAAAAACCAGACAGACTACATTTCATTTTCATTAGCAAATATAACAGTTTTCTAATATTCATTAGAAGCAAAAACTCCTATGATAATGATGATGATATTGACAAATCTTCACTTTCCCTTCACCCTTCTTATTCCATGTACAGGGTCACCTATGGTATTTTTCAATCATAAGATGATTTTTCAAAAGCTAACTCTCAATAGTACCTCAAAAATTTAGATTAAAATTTAGAAGTCCTCCATGATACCATATATCAATATTTATGCCATAGCTGAACCACTACTTTACAATAAGCAGTGTTAGAAATGTCTCAAATATATAAAAGGTTGATAGTGAACAAGGAATCCAATTATCTGTTATACAACAGTAGCAACTTTAAGTTGTATTGAATTTAAGCACTTTTGCACTACTGATGAAAAGCAGGCACTTCTAAATTGCTAACGTAGAAGTTCACCCAAACTTAACATGAAAATTTATCAAACCGTGCAAGAAAAGAATGCTTCTCTCTCATCTTCTGAAGGTATTATGTACTCAACAGGAAATGACAAATATACTTCACATTCACATCAAGCTAAAAAGTGTGATTTTCTTCAGCAAGTAATTTAAAATCTTTTCACTGACATTTTTTCTAGGACTTATTATAAGTAACTGAAAAATATTTTCAGAATTATGAATATTCTGATATGAAATAAAAATTGGACAAGTCTGAACAGATACTAGAACTCATGTTCTGTACCACAAGGCAGTATCAGTCTACCCAATACATTAGGAGTATGTCCTTCTGATTGCTTAAGTTACAGCTTCCTGAGGTTTACGACATCTGCTACCTACCACTCTTTAGGACATGACTAGGAAGAGCAGAACAACATTTTTGTTTCTGCAGCCTTACAAAAAGATGATGTTTAAGCTAAAAATGTACATATCTATAATGCACTACATTAACAGATAGTATTTTACACATAACTAGGTTTTGAAACCTAACACTGCAAGACTAATACAGGAAATTACCTTCTTAGTAACATACTAATATGCAGAGTTAAAGACAGAGAACAAGATTGAATACACTGCAGAATAAAGTTTATGTTCAGTAGTCCCTGTTCCCCTTATTTTGAAACTGCTTCCAGAGAATTTAAATCCTGGAGGAAGAGAGAAAGATAATCCTTTAAACAAGCATGCTAAGAAATGTCCAAGTAGACAGTCTTGCCAAAGAAGAAACACTATCTGATACTCTGGGCCTTTTAACTGGTTCATCAAAATAACGGTCACATTAAGCTTGAGTACTGTTCTGCATCTTTGGTTCATTTATTCACATACATGAGGAAAACATTATGTCCAACTATCCAAAGTAAAAAGTTCCCAGCCAATTAAGTCTTAGTTCCCCAAGGCAGCATTTGAGATTCCATTAGAAGTTTTATACAATAAGGCACAGAAGTTACTTTTCATCAGAGAATGGAATTGTGTATCAGATATGATTGAAACAGATAACTATACAGACCAAAAGTCAGCATGAATGTAAACTGAAAGACCCGTCCAAAAGATTAGCACCCCCATCCTGCTACCTTAAGGTTGTCTAAATAGTAAGACACAAACAGCTGCCTGGAATCATTATTAAAGGGAAATCCCAAAGGTCCTTGCACAACATGTATCAGGACTCAGTTCTGACTGCATCTGAGTCACCCAACACAGGAACAATGGGCATTTCCTTGACAGGTTGTCAGTCATTCAGCTGGCATCTGAATAAGATGACATGTGATATGTCTCAATTCAAAGCATCTGTCCTTACCTGTTCCCCTATAAATCCATGAGAAGAATCAGTGAAGCTATGGAGAGGAAGGTCTGTCTTCCCACATTTCCAGGAGAGGCTACTGGCCAACATTTAAACATACCATATTCAACTGAAGATGAAAATACTACCAGATTGAAAGAAAGCCTCTCTCAAACTCTTCAGTCTGCTTGTTTGGTTTGTAACTTAAGTATCAATCACCTTTAGAGTGTGTTCTGAACGATCAAAACCAGGAACAACAGTAAATTCCCCCACGTCAAACTAAAACTATCTGTAGTTCTTACTTACAGCAAGCTTGTGTTTATTCTATGAGTAGATTGGTGTTACAGTTACTCCAGCAGGTGACCAGAAAAACTGGATCTGAAGCAGGATTACACCTTTAGCATTAAGAACACCGACAGTCCCTATGTACAGGTGTTAAGCAACATCACACCACAAGGACGAACTAATTAGATGTACTTACATGCACAACTACCTTTTGACTTCAACAGCTTCTCTAAAGTTACAGGACACACACTTTTCAGGAGTTTCCAAGTCTTCCATTCTCTTCTTATTTACATGATATACAATAAAGACATACATGAAAATTAACCTGCTCCAAGTTTGAGGTGTTATGGAGACTGTTTCAGATACAACAAACAGGAGATATACACAATTCACAGAACTTCAATATTTTGGAGCTCTTACGCAGTACCACTTCAGTACATATTTTACTAAGTACTCATCAAAGTTCCTCCAAGAATCACACTCAGACTCCCATTCTGATGTAGTCAAAAACATGTGTGGGTAAAAAAAAAAAAAAAAAAAATCACCAATAAGCTGCAGCATACTCAAATATGATGAACTTACACATGTCATGGTTTCAAATGAGGAAAGCACGAACAAGGTTTACATGGGATAATGTTCTTAAGCAGTCACTAAAACTCTCTGAATGGATCAGCCATACAGGTTCTGGAAGAAATATTCTTTCAGAAAAATATATCTGTAAGGCAAAAGATTCAAGATGATGGTTGACTAGAACAGATAAATGCAAAATGCTCCAATTAAGACAGATGAAAGAATCCTCTTTGCAACTACATGAAGAAAAATTCTAACTAAAGCAGCTCATTACATAGATTCAAAAAGCTTTCTTACTTCTACAATATCACTGCAGAGAGGAAATGCAAACTTCAGTTTTCACTTTTTCAGTGTCCTAAAGATATAACAAAGCCAAAACTTAGAAATATGGCCAAACTTTTGAACTGAACAGATAAGAATAATTCCAAATTTAACTGCATTTAATCTGCTTCAAACAGCACACAGAAACACTGTATTATTCCCTGAAACATAACAACAAGAACTTGTGCAAAAAAATTCTGTATACCTGTGGGAACAACAAAAATGTCAGCTGCAAACACATCAAAAAGTAATGACAATTTGTTCAGCTGATCCTCTGATTTTCCTCAAGCTTTGGTATGACCCTCATGTTGATGCTTAAATACCTAATTACTGATTGGAAAACTGAAATTCTTCATCACTGCAAACATATACACACACGCGCGCACGCAACAAAACCAAGCCAAATCTTCCTTTGAGGATTCTAGCTGAGCGGACTCATTTCTGGAAAATTTCCGTCCTGGCATGCTATATACTGATTGGGATAAAATAAAAGATGATGATTCAAAGGGGCAAGCTAATGAAAGAGCGGCTCAACATCTTATTCTTTAGAGGATCTGCATATAAGAGTAACTTTTGTACCTACCACCTAAAGGTATCTAAAAATTATCAGATTGTCTAAAAACCTCTACCTATAAGCCCCACTACTTCATGAATACATGTATTTTCAGGTAAGGCAGAAGTACCAACTCCAACTTCCCAGCTCAACAAAGGGCACAGGGCCACAACCAGTCTGAGTAGTAAATAAATTAGCATGCAGGTAAACATAACTTTTCCTTAGATCATGTTATTAAGTCAGTCCAAATTTCAAGAATTCCAGCAGTATATATACTGTCCTATCACAGAGGGGAGGGATTTGAAAAGTACTGTCAAAACCTGTGTTTCTAGTCCTTGTTTTTAGAGGACATGAAACAAGCCATTTATTAATTAAAAAATAAAAATATCAATTCTTTCTTGTGTCCTGATTATATAATCACTATATAATCATTATATAATCCCACATCTTTCTCATAATACACAGCAAACTTACATGCATATCCCAAATAAGTATGCCTTCATCTGGAAAAAAAAAATAATTAAAAATGCACCTGTCAGAAGTGAAATCAGTCACTGGCAAATACAAATTTTTCTTTTGAAAGTTTATACTTCCTTTTCCTTTTTTGCTCCTCAACTTTAATCTCTCCCTTTTACAATCAAAAACTACCACTTTTCTGATCTGAAATACAGGTCACCAAATAAATATTCTTTTAGATTATAACAAAAAAAGAGGTTGGTAATTAAGTGATACCATGAATCTTTTTCTAGTTTTAGTGTTGAAGTTACTTGAATGGATATTTCTCCACCTGTTTCAATTTTACAGGTATGTCAAAAATCCTAAAAATTAACAACAGAGTCATGTTACTGACTATTAAAGGCTCATTTGCTAAGAAAGACCGTAACAATTAGAGGTAGTATGGAAAAAAATTAAAAGGCCATGCCTCCATAGCTGCAGAAGCAAAGCAACCGACAAATGTATTACAGTTTTATCACTGTTATGATACAATTGACCCACGATCCTTTCTGGCCACAAAGAAAGCTTTCAGGTAATGTATTTTGTTTTTTTCTAAATACCTTCCTTAACAAAATCAGGTAGTCCATACCTCTTCAAACTCCTCTCAATCTCTAAAGCCCTCTTCAAAGTAGCTAGGAAGACAATGTTGCTTAGTGAAAAAGAAAACCAGACTAAACCACATCCCTCTAGGAGAGGATTCATTACCCCACACTGCTTATCAGTTAGACTACAAAGGAGTAAAAGGATCAGAATACTGTCTAAAGAGGACTTAACAGTTTATGAAGCTAAGATTTAAAATTCAACTGTGTTCAGACATCAT